GAAGATAGGCAAATTCACGTAGTACAAAAATTTTAATTAGTGATTGGCGTTGCGCTGGAAATGACCAGTGACTGATAAGGAAATTTAATTGCGCCACAAGTTGCAACTCAATTGCGCCATTTTTTTTAATTGCGGTAGATGAGAATAATGAAAATACAGTTGATGATGATTTGGACAATGTTGAAACAGCAATAGATGGCATGACAAAAATGGAAAATTTATTAGAACACGCAAAAAAATTATTTTCTAAATTTTATTTTGAAGTAGCTATATAGTTTAAAAAAATTCCAGCATTTTAATTAATAATTCTTGCATATGTATTTTAAGACACATAATAAAAGATATTAAAATTATAAATAAAGATATAAAAATTTTTTAAGACATATAATAAAGGATTTTTATAAAAAAAATCTCGCGTTTTTTTTTTCTAAAAAGCTTCCGAGTTTAATTTTTCATCATGATTTTGATTGGTCGATCTATGATTACAGGGGTTAACTTTTTGTGTAACCAGGACGGTCATTAACAGAAGCATCATGTATGTTTCGTTTTCAATAGGATAACATTATTGAAACCAGGGGGAAACAAATCATTGTTGATTAAAGAATATTTTGATTGATAAGATTCATCTATTTTATTATTATTAAATTTGAAAGGAAAGGTTCTTAATTCAACTCTGTATTTGTTGCATCACAATCACTATATGGGACCTTTGCAATAGAAAAGGGGGAAACGGCCAGAAAAAACAATTTTACTTTTATATGCCAAATATGATTTTTAGGTCAAAATATGTTCAGAATGCCAAATATGATTTTTAGGTCAAAATATGTTCAGATTTAGCATTAACTCATTTTTTATTTTTCCGGCCGTTTCCCCCTTTTCTATTGCAAAGGTCCCATATCGTATTGAGCGATATATAACCATTCTCCACCAACGTATCGAATGGATACGCTTTCATCCTTAAAAATCAAAACTCTGCAAACTCTTTAAATATTGTATAAATAAATAAAAGTAATAATCTAATTCTCGAAATTTCATTTAATTACCCTTCTAGAAATACAAGGATGGTAAGTTTCGTGTTCTCTCGACTCCCGAAAAGAGTAGCTAATTACATCTTGTATTCTCAATGTCAAAGATTTTATGTGCCAATTTTCAGTAAGCATGCAAATACTAGTTACTTCAAAAAAAATCGAAACACGTGTTCAAAAGATTCACTAATATTCCGTATAGTGATAAAAAGGGAAGAAAAATTCGATAAAAAGGAAAAGAAGCATTTAATTGACACGCAAGAAATTTTCCAAATGAAGAATTTGTGTAATGTCATATTGTGACAGAGACGGAAACTTGTTTAATTACCTTTATAAAATTTAATCGGAATTTTTTATTCCTTTTTATTTTTTTTTTTATTTTTTCTCTTTTAAATAATAATTGGTGGACTAATCAATATAATTATCAATAACTTGTTTACATCGAAATATTGATAAAATCTAATCAATCTAATTACACAAAATTAATATTTATTTAACTATTGCAATTGGTTGTTAATTTGATTAAAAAAAATTGATTTCACAAATACAAAAATTAGTTTTTTATACAAAAGAAATATATGTATATATATATTTAAATTATCAAAATAAAATAATTATAAAGATTTCCACCAATACATCACAAAAAAAAACTATGATCTATTTATTATCACTTTGGTTACTGACGCTCATATTTACACTAGTTACCGAAGAAACAGTATTTCCCCTCTTCCTTAATATATTTGGAGGGGATGATGTTGATAATGGTGTTGAAGGTTGTGAGGATGATTCATTTGTGGGATTGGTCGTAGATGAGATTGGAGTGGTCGTTAATGTTAATAAATTGTTGTTAATTAAATTATTTTTCAAGTTGTTTGCTGTAGAAATTGTGCAAATAACATTTCTTTTATTATATTCTACATTAGATTCAATAATGGATTCTTTAGTATTAGATTGACTCTTCATAACGGGAACACTGGGTTTGATAACTATTGGTTGAATTAATGACATTGTTCCATTCGAGGCAGTGGTCTTGTTATTATCAGTATTGTTAATTTCTCTCGTTGAACTATTATCATCCTGTGTTTGTTTTTGTTTTGAATATTTAGGTAAATTATCACCGTCCTTTCTAGGGTTATCAGAGTTATTATTCTTTTTCCCAATAACACTTGCTGATTCGGTCTTTTTGTCCTTAATTCCTTGTTCATCTCCGTTTCTCTTCCATTTCTTCTTCCAACCATCAAAATCAATTAATGCCTGCATACAACCCCATTCTCGAATCTTTTTTTCCAACCATTCTAAGCTCACTGGTTTGGTTAGAAAATCATTACAACCTGCTGCTAATGCATTCTGCCTGTCGCTTGACAATGAGGAAGCGGTGAGTGCCACGATAATAACAGGTAAGTCGGCTGTGGGAGGGAGGGGTTGTTGCATGGGAGTAGTTGCAGGTGTGGATGAAACTGAAGAAGCAGCAGATGTAGAAGCTGATGATTGAGCTGAGGGGAAAACTCCTATTTTCTGTGATTTCTCTAAACGTCTTATCGTCTTAGTTGCTTCAATTCCATCCATTACGGGTAGTTGAATATCCATCTATATATATAAGTGTGTGACAAAATTTGTTAGATATAAATAAATTTACAAGAATACTTATTTAAACATTTGCTTACCAAAACTAAATGAAATCCTCCGGTTTGCCATTTTTCTACGGCTTCCTTCCCGTTAGATGCACATTCATACTGAATCTTCTTCTTTCTCATAAACGTTGACAAAATTGTTTGATTGATGGGATTATCTGGTAAAAAGTTAAAAAAATATTCATAAGTTTTCATATATATATATATGTATGTATATAAAAATAAAACCAGTAAACACGAATTTACCTTCAACTATCAAGACATTGATTGGCGGTATTACAGTATCGGCATTATTTTGTTTCTTTCTAGACTTAAGATGTTTACGACGGGGCCCGGTTTGATTTTTTACTGAAGTAGATGATGGAGAAGGAGGAGGGGGGGATGTGGGTTGTTTTACGCCGGAACTTTTACCCATAATCCCATTAGTAATTCCAGTTACACCATGACCAGCGTTACTGATCGGAGAAAATACCCCGACCGTTGGGATATTTACAGTATTTGGAGTTGTAACGTTAGGTGGAACAATTAGCACACTGTTGTTGTTGTTGTTGTTGTTGCGTGTCACATTTTTTGGACTCATTGTAGGATCTGATGTTGAAGGTGAAGGACGATATAAATTGGCAGCGGCATCTGGGGGGAAGTAAGTCTCAGATGATTCTATAAACGTGGCTTCATCCAAATTTATTGAATTTGAATATTGTTTGCCCGGGCTCATAGGTGACGTGGCTATAGGCATATAGACCGGATCAACCACGATTTTATTAATGGTCGTATGAAGCGCGGTTAAAAAACGTCTCGGACCGGCCGGTTTCGGAATGACTAAAACTTGTGGTAAACTAAGGCAACAAGTTGTTGGCGGTGATGAATTAATATATTGAACAGCATCCTTTACCGACTTATAGTTTGCGAGTGATGTGAAATGAATTACGGCTGTAGTTTGTGATGATGAGGATGATGTTGACTCGTGCCGTTGTCGAACTTTTAATGGGAATGGAACTTTCTGCAGCTGATAAAGTTGTTTCTTTAGCGTATCGATATCATCATCAATGATTATAAAGGTAGGTGGTAAATTTGCACTTGATGATTGTTGCAAATCATCATGATTTTGATGATCTTCCGATGGTTGTGGAGTACCAGCCCCTGAATCTAAAGGAGTGATCGATTGAGGTGTTTCTAAACCCTCTTCTCCGCCTATAGGTACATGCGAAACATCAGTACCCCACGTAGTCAAACAACTCGTAATACGTTGAGCAAAATAACTTTTGCTTGTAGCATGTAAAGCAACCCTTTGACCTCTCATATTTCGTGAGGTTTTGATGAGTTCTTCCATAGAAGGTTCTCCGGTTATTCTTAGATGAGGATATCGTCGACGTATTTCTTCATTAACGTTTGGTACATTAGGTGGTGCAAGAGGTGATCCCGCCTCTAGCTCAATTGTGATCTCGAGTCGTTGCGAATTTTCTTCTGACTCCATTTTTATATCAGCACCCAAAAAACGTAAAAGTTTATGAGTCAAATTTGCATTAGGAATAACTGGTTTGTTGTGATTGGACTTTTTTGACAGATTAACCCCCGCAATATGTACGATTTCGATCATACAAGTGACTCTGTCATGTGGATTAATCGACCGTTCTTTTTCAGTTACCTCTGACTCATCTGAAGAACGGATTTGTAGTCCTAACTCTATACAATCTCCAGGACTAGCGCTACCAATTATGTAGTTAAGAAGCTAAAATAAATTAATAATTAGTAAGTAAAGAAAAAAAATAATTATTAAGTAAAGAAAATAAATAATTATTAAATTCACGATTTCATATTCTTTTAAAAAAAAAATAAATAAATAAATAAATATGTATATATAAATATTTTTGTAACTTACATCCAAGATAGCGTGGCTAAAAGAAGCTCGATCACCGATGACGTTCAAATGATTTAAACCATAATCCACATGATAAATGACCAGTTCAACCTTGGCTTTGCACATGTCACCAGCAAGGACATCACCAATGTGTTGTATGGTCTCACCAATATCAAATTCTTGTTTAACGTGAGAAGTTTCTTGGTCAAGATTTCCTGAATGTAATAAAAATGAAAAGGTTCCCAAATGAGTAGATATATAATCTATATCCCTTAAAATATTGTAGATGGCACTTATAGAAACGGTGGGAATTGGAATTGAACAAGCCGATAATTGTTCATGTGGTTTGAATAGAAAATGAGGAGGAGATAATTGTTTTAAAATATTCTTTGACATGTCGGTAGTTTGACGCAATTGGTCAGAGATGGTCTGAAGATAAGATTGCCTTGTTTCAATGAAACGATCATAAGCCAATTTTTTTGAATTCTCGCGATCCTCCCTTAACGAAGCACGTTGATCTTCTTGGTGAGCGTCAAAAACTTTTCCGGCGAACGTTAAAAAAAATAAACTGATGACGAAAGGACCAACCACAACAAATAATTGGAGACTTTGATGGGCTCTGACATCACTTAAAGGTATAGAAAGTTGAAACATAAATAATTGAATGGTGATGATGACAAACATCCCAAACTTTATGACATTAAATGTATCCCTAAACGAGGATGAATTTAATCTATAAAGACAGTAACCCAAAAACAAGGCGCATGAGGAATATAATTTTGTCCAAGAAAGGTTAATAAACCAGAGGTCTAAGCCAAATTCTAGCCTTAAGTAAAATGCGCCGCATATAGAAAAAATTAAACAAAGAACGACTATTAGGCATGTAGCCTTGTAAATAAGGAGTGAAACGGCGTCAAAAGATGACACATTAGGTTGATCAGAGGTCGACAGGAAATCTAGTAAAATATTTGTTGAAAGTTCGAAGTATCTATTTTCATATGATTCTCTTGACGGTGATTCGAATTCATCATCCTCTGAGCTCTCTGAAGAAATAGAAGTTGATTCAATTATAAATGATTTATTATTATTTGTATCATTTGTTGAAGAATTTACATTAACAATTGAAGATGAGAAGGTAGAATCATTTATTTCATTATCGTCTTGTAAAAGAGAATTATCTTTATTGAGGATTTTATTTAGATCGCTTTCATTATATGTCATATTGGCAAATTTTGTATTTACTGAAGTTGTAAGTGCTGGAGGTATTGTTGTGCTGCCTCTGTGAAGGTTATAAACTGTCTATATATTTCCGATTTTATTTTTTTTTTTTTTTTGCTTCTTTTGTCGTAGAAGTGAACACTGTGGATACTATAGATTGTATAGGCTACTTGGAAGCTTCCCAAAAGGTAGCAAATCTAGTCAAGGTAAATACTGATATTAAGTTCAGTATTTAGTATTTGAAATGTTTAAGGGTTATGTACTTTTCTAAATCGCGACTTCAAGTCCATAGGTGAACTGTTGAAATACTCGGTTGGTTGTTGTTTTTAAGAGCACCCCCAAAAGATTGAATATATTATATATTACACGTGATCAACATTCATTAATTTGGAAAACTGTTGTAAAAAAGGGGTATCACCGTTATTTTATCGGTATCCCGTTTTTTTTTTAATTGGATAAATTATTAAATCGCATATAAAATTAAATGATATGTTCGGATCTAACTTTGATAGATATCATTTGGCGTATTTTTTTTTTTTTTCACTTTCTTATTTTCCTTTTATTAATTCTCAATAACTTGGACTTTCCAGAAATTTCATTCAACTCTATGGTTTGGCGTTCCAATTTGCATTGAATCATGTGATAATCGGATAAAAGTTCTTTTTGTCACGGTGATACGCATGATATTTTTTTTAATGCCAAAATATGTTCCTTCAAAGGAATATCATCATCTATACCTGAAGATGAAAAACAACTATATTTCTTTTTTCTTCCATAAATAAGATTAATTTATCGAACCTCAGATGTATCACATCCTTTTATTACATGAATTTTCTTCTTGGATCTTTCATTAGTTCAATTGAACCGATTCGTGCAAGAGGTTTTTCTGTTGTATGACTTATGTTTTTTATTTATTCAGATTTGTCCTACATACGTGAGATTATTTTAATATTGATTTGAATTGTTGGAAATTTACCCAAGTTCGGCAAAATTTCGTGCTACCGAGAAAGTGATATTATGGGGATTACGATTCTTTTTTCCCTTTGATGAATAATATAAAATAACAAATTTACAAATCCTACCATTAAAAAAGCCTAAATGATTGTCAAAAAAAAATCATTCCGATTTGTTTGTGCGTAGTAAATTCTAGATGATTCGATCCTTTTGCGAGAAATTCAGATAATTGGCGATATTTTTTTTTTTTTTTTTTTTTTCAATTTATTGGTTTCAAAGAAATCTTTAAGAACAGACCAATACACTCAAAATTCATCACACAAATTCACCTTTTAAAACTTTGAAGAAAAATGACTACTAGCAGTAAAGTAAGCAATGCTCTTTCCTCTCAACCTAAAGACAGAATTTATCTTTCCTTGTAGATCTTTGGATTTTATTTTTAATTTTTTTTTTTTTTTGACATATTTTTCTATCTTCCCTCTAAAGAATATTGTCAATTTGCAAGAACGAGCAAGATAAAGTTTTAAGTACAGGTTTTTGAAAATGAACAAAAAATTTCTCTATTTTATAAGCAACCTTTAACACCAACGTAAGAAATTCGAAATAAAGAATTTTGTGCGGAAATGGCATTTTCATTGGATAATGCTTCAATATAATATTGTAATTTTAAATAAAAAAATTTATGCAGGCACATTGAATTTCAAACATTGTTTAACACACACCCCTCTTTAATAGGCATGAAGCATTTGAACAAGTTGTCACGTTACGCCGACTCCGGGAGGTTTTACCCGAAGCTAAATGTGAGAAACTTTTAAAGGTAAATAATATTAAAAAATAATTGGCGAACGCGATACTATAATTAAAGTGACTCCTCAGAATATCGCATTGGTCCAAGGAATTGATGTGATAGATGCTCAACTATTATTGGGTTCATGAAAGCAATGAAGGTGTCGATTGTTTCGATTAAAAAGAAAATCGTTGAACAATGTAAGATATACATCAAGGGAAATAATATTTGGAAATGGTTAAAGCTGATAGGTATATGTTTTTTTTATCAAATATAAAGGTATAGAAGCCAGATCTTACCTGTCTTCTCGACAAAACATTTTATCTTTTTCTTTTATACAACATTATTGCTTTCTTTTGATAAGTCAATGATTATTTTGAATAATAAAAAAAAAAAACTGTAAAATGATAATTTAGGCCAAAGCATCTTTCTTTAAAAAATGAGAAATTGCAAGTATAATAAAACTTTCAAAATATAAAATATCTCATTACTCAAATCTATGTATGTTGAATGGTTAAATTAAAAGAATAGTATTCATAGTTTCTATTATCGTGGTCATAAGTTAATCTATAAATATAACACCTAGAGGTATAAAGTAATTAAAGTAATTTATACAGCAACTCAACCAATGAAACTAATGATTAAAATGGGCAATTAACTATTGTATCCATGTTTCGTTTACATCTCTTGTAGGGAAGATTTATAAAGAAGTTGTTGAGATTTATAAAAAAAAAAAAATAAATGAATAAATTTCATGACCTATTTATTCAAAATATTTATTTTTTTTAAGATTTATATAACTATTGTTACACTTGTTTTTATGTCTCTAACTTAAAAATGTTTCAAAGATCTTAAAAAACCTTAAGCATCTCTCGATTAACATTTACGACCTTGCCACAATCTTTTTTTTTCCTTTCACGTACTTTGTATGATAGATAACGCGTTTCTTATCAGGAGAATTCACAATTACGCAGCTTATGATGTTGTCACTATAAATTAGCCGAACCTATTCCTTAATTTAACACCTACACGACCCGGGCCAATCATCATTACCATTTAACACTATTCTGAGTTATACAACAATTCAAATGTGGTGGAAAAGAATTCTAGATTTTGGAAATCTGGACCCTAATTTGGTTTTGAACAATGAATTAACTTATTTTGTAAAAAATATTTAAAAATAAAAATGTTTCTTTAGTTCTTGTTATATAATTGAACACGAACCATGACACAATTGACGTGAAGTTCAGCTGTTAATTGCCCTTTACGTTGTTGGCATAGAAAAACCTGTTTTCATTCTTGAAAATTTCAGGATTTAAATAGGTTACAAAGGGTTTGTAAGTTTTTAATATGTTGCTAAAAAAAAGAGTTCCTGAGTCAATTCATTAATGGTTTGTTTTGAATTGAACTAATCATTTTTAATTCAAGAGCAAGTTTAGATCAAAATTGATCAGGTTCACAATCGATTGTGAGATTTCCCTTTTTCTTCTTTCTTTTTTAAAGAAAAGTGCCAACTAAATGCTTACGTATACAATGTATGCGTTATGCAATGCCTTGAAAGACTTTTTATTCTTTTTGACTTTGTGATAAATGTATGATTCCCTATAATGGATAAACGGCGGTCAAGAAAAGTGCAAGTTTTTTTTTTTATTTGACACGACCGATTATTCATCACCGGAATTCTTTACCTAAATTGATTTTTTGAATTTACCAAGTTAAGATGGTTGCACTACGGATCTTTTTTTTTTTTTTTTTTTTCGTTACAATTGATTTGACAGATCGGAAATACCTTCCCGTGCATATTATTTTCCGTGGTCTTATCAACACTTTGTTGATTATATTTGGGAATGTACATAATCGCAAATGATTTTTTTTTTTTTTTATCAACATCAATGTTTGATCTTTATATTTCCCCACATGGCATCATGTTTGCTGTCATAATAAGAACGATGTCAATGGCATGAATCGAGTGGATCAGGGATCCTCAACTGACACCATAATCGCTTTGTTGTAAGGATTTAACGATGAAAGAATAATGAATAAAAATAATCCACAAAAAAAAAGATCACTTGTTTAACGCTTTAAGGAAAAGAAGGGTAATTGAATCCTTTGATTGGTATTGAATTAAAGTACGCTGTGAATCAGTTGTCGAATTTTCTTTACTTTCTTCGATGGTACTAGTGAAATTCGGTACGTATGGATGGATTTTATTTATTTTTAAATCCCGCATTTTATTTATTTATTTTTTTTTTTTATTACATACATGATACGATCTTTTTCATTGACCACAACCATGATGTTCGCAGATTTAAAACGGTTCTTTGCATGTGTAAGTTTATTTGTCACATAAGTGCATAACATAATCTCTTTTCAAAATAATAAGGATGTGTCAATTAATGCGGTGACACGAATCAAAATTTATGTTCAAATGAAAAATCTTTTAATAAAAAATAAACAGCGGATATTCCCTTGTCAAAAAGGAAGAGAGCACTTAGAAGATTAATATTTATACAATATATCACGCACCGTCACAGATCCTAATCAACTGTGACGGTTAACAAACGTGATGCAAAACGTGACCACCGAATCAGCGCGAATACTGATGATAAACAAAGAAACACTTGACCAAAGACCCCTTGTTAAGGAAGGGGTGGGAATACCCCTTGAGCTCTTATTATTGTTGAATGTTAAGGAGATTGTGTTTAGTGAATAGTAGTATAATTTGTCTGTTAAAATGAAAAAATTTCAGGATTTTTTTGTTTCAACCTTTATTATTTTTTTTTGATTATCATTGCAACACACCAAATTTAGTTAAAAAAAAAATTTTTTTTGATCTCAATAATCTTGAAAATTTGTAATTGTGTTTGTAATCATATAATTCATTCGATTTTCGTGGGTGGGTTAAAAATAAATCGATCGATCTTTTTAGAAGAAATGCATCTTTTTTTTTATTTTCAACGAAAGATAACTTTAAATAGATCCAACCTCGACTTTACTTAAAAAATGAACAATTGAAATAATAAAAAAATAATACAATTAGTACTTATAAAAAGATAATCATTAAGGTTCGAATCGTTAATCCAAAACAAAAAGAATTTGTTTGATGACCAATCTGAAGATGTCAATTTTATCAATAAAACGTGATTTTATTTTTTTTTTTCTCTGACCCAAATTGATCACCATAGATGAAACAAGGAACCCAAGTTTTATAACAGGTCGTCCGTTTTAAATTTATTTATTTATTCTCTTTTTTATTTAAAATTTTTTATTTTTGGACTTTCACAGTCGAATAATAATTTTATTGCAAAAACCTTCAAAAAAAAAAATTTATTTTTTTTTGTTTATTGTTGTCACATTATGTAATCTACTAATTTTGTCTTTATTGAAAAGTTCAGGTTCCAATTTGAAAAAGCACCAGGGTTAATTTCGTTAGTAAATTGTTGTGCAACGGGGAAAGTAAAATTTTGAAAGTTTATTGAAACAACTAACTTTGTGAGAACAATTTATTATTGAGGAGAATTAAAAAGGGATTGTTTCTGAGCAATTTTTTTTGTACTTCCGTAAATAGAAAGGTTTTTATGACGCGTGACCTTAGGGTAATCAAACGTCATTTCAGCCTTACTTGAATGATCTTAGTTTAACATTGTAAATCAAACATCCTAGTCCATTATTTATCACAATGGGCGTGATAGATATATGTGGAGAAATATTTTTTTACTACTAGGTAAAATTATTTTCATTTTTTTCGGCCTTTGATTGTTGTTTGGTTGTCAGTCGGCGTGAAATTATGTGACATGACACCGCATATTAAGCATACAGTTTACTTTTACTTTATTATAGGTATCCGTCTTTTTTTTTTTTTTAACTAGATTTAGTCAATAGTAATATAACAAAATATATCTCGGTTTTTATTTTTTTCAAATTAAGGCAAAATGATATCAACGCATATAAATAAAAAAAATATTTTTTTTTTTTATATTGACGTTAAAATAACTAGGAAAAAAATAAATAATGATTACATTTTTTCCTATTTTTTTTTTTTTTTTTCAAGAAATTTTTTTACTATATAATCTTAGCTTCAAAAGCCTCACATTCCTTTTTCTCTTCATTTTATTTTTTTTCCTTTGCCTTGATTTTTTTTCTAAACATCTAATAAACGAAATATCTTTTTTTTTTTTTTTTGTTTAAATTTTTTTAACTAATCAAGTGTTTAAAGGAAAAAATAAAATAATTATTATTATTAACGAAACAAAAAGTAACTGTAAAAAAATTTTCTTTTCGACACGCGCTAAAGGGTTGAATAATAATCTTTTACACCGTTACCTAATTAATCTTTCCCTGAGAAACCATTTAATAAATTTTAATAATCCTAATATAATCCCTATTCTGTAATCCTGCTGATATCTTTTGTGCATGCGCCTTTCATAAATAAATGACCCCAGACATACTCGCTACTAACGACGAAGATAGAAGACCTCTCATGGTAACCGAAGACACGGATTTGGAATTTCCAACAAATTCTAGCATGGAAAGTTTAGGTATCATCGGACAACCGTTACAAGTTAATACTTCTTCCGCTAACACCTCAAATCCGTTTGCCTCATTTGATGATGTTTTTTATCATGGAAACAGTAAACCCGTTTCAAGGAATAATAGTTATAAAATAGTAAATGATCATACTTATTTTCCAAGTGTGGGAGAATTATTATGGAAAGAAGGTCAAATGTATAGCGACGTAAGATTATCTTTCGAGGATCGTGGAACTTTAGCGGCAAGAGCCGGAATACCTACAGAATTACGTCTACACTCTCTCGTGTTATTCCAATCCCAATTCTTTAAGGAACAACTATCGGTAACTTCTGCGGCCGTACCTTCCTCTCCCTCTTCAAACATAATTAAGGAAAAACAAATTATCGTGCGATTACCTTCACGTATCACAGAAGAGGATATAATAAACTTTTATAGTACTTTAAAATTAATGTATACAAAGAATTGGGATGTGGAATTGGCAAATAATTTAACAAAAGGTGTTGGATGTTTGTCCGTATGTTGTGAAATAGGGTTTCATGAGGGGATTGAGGCTTGTTGGAAATGGTTGGTTAATAAATGCAATCGTGATAAGAATAAAGAGATGATGAGAAGGTTAATTGAAGCGTATCCGAATTTACATGAACAATTTTCAGAACCCGACGAGAAGATCAATCCAAATGTATTTGCTTCAATTCCTTATCAAAGCTCGAGTAAAAGTAAAAGAAATTCCCATGTTCATCATCGTTCTTCTCGTCGTTCAAATAAATCTCGTAGAAGAACAAATTCCAGTGGAAATGGCAACCTTAGTAACAGACAATCAGTTCCTCCAAAGATTAAATTATATCGTGGTGATGCCTCAATGTTAAACGATTCTTCGACCTCTCCGTGTGTGCCCTTTGAAAAAGTTTTACCCACTTTACCATCTCCACCTCTTTCAACTTCTCCTTCCCTTTCTCCAATATTATCCGATAATTCTCCTACAAAACCTTCTAATCCGACTACTTTCCCTCCCTTACCTCCCACCTCCCCACCTTCAATTTTCAATAACTCTCGTGTACTTAACACCTGGATAACGAATTTCGAGTCTTATGCTATATCATCAAAACGAGCATGTTCTAAAATGCAAATAGAATCAAGGCAAGATAGCAAATGTTTCCCATTCCTTGAACATTTCGTTTCAATATTTGATTCTATTAATCAATTGGGTAGAGCTAAGCGTATAAGTTCCCCCGAAGCTCTTGATTACACATTGCGCATGTTAAATGTAATCAAAGTCGAGCATGCTCATTTTCACACTTTACATATGCCATCACAGAATAAACAACTGAAACCTTCCAAATCTTCCAAATCTCTCAAATCTCTCAACCGATCGCGTCCCACTTCACCATCTCCTTCATCTCCTTCATCTCCTTCATCTCCTTCATCACCGTCAGCAATGTCTGCATCAAATTCCAACAGTACGCCTCCAATAGTACTTCATGAATCATTGGATGAACCGTTATCACAGATATTGAAAAATATTCTGGCTCCAAAAGAACAAAAACATTTATGCGATTTTTTATGGGCCCCTTCAAATATTTCAAATTTAATGCATTTAAGAGAAATAAGAAGTGATGATGAGGACAATATGGAAGAAGATGAATTCGAAAGGTATGATCAACTGATGGGTGAAATTAGCTTGGTAAAGGCTTCACGCGTAAGTAGAATTGAGCATATGGTTGTTGGTGAAAAAATGGCCAAATGTATGAGAGAAATTCGTTCAAATACCTCAAAGAATTATCGTTCTTCATGAAGGATTTTACGGTTTTTTAAATAAAAAAAAAATTTTGAATTTTTTTTTTTTCTTCTTTTTTATCAATATTTTATTGTATGTGTAATTTATTCTTAAAAAAAAAAAAAAAATAGTGTAAGCGGGTTATCTTCACTTTTTTTTTTAATACCACCACTATCTTTAAAATTTTAATATTATTTATTTCTTTCTTTTCTTTTTTTTTTTTTAAAAAAAAAAAAAAGAGACAAAGCAAGAAAATTCACGTCACTTATTATTATCTTTTTTTGTAAACAAAAATATATATATATTGTTTTACTTATTGTTTATAGTTTTTTAGATTATTTCTCATTAATTTCATCTTAATTTAGAACCTGTTTACATAATTTCCGCAACACACTTAATAATTTTCTTATAAACCGATTGTACTTATTTCTGGTGGGAAGAGAATAAGAAATGTCTCGTTTAAACTAATTCATTTAAGCATCGCCTTTATTTTGTAAAGCATGTGACATTTTTTTTTCAAAAGCAACGCGAACTTTTAAAAAATGCCTTACCTTTGTACAATGCATGATTGTAATAAAAATGATCGTGATTTTACTTAGCTTGCATAAAACAAATATATTTAACTATTTAAAAGTTGGTGACCAACTATGTCAAATAATATTGTTGAACCGGACCGAAATAAACTTTAAACAATTACCGATTTCTGATACAAATATAAACAAAAATCTTTGCTGAAATAGATGGTAATCAAACTAATAATAAAGGTAATTAATTATATTAGAATTTATTTTTATTGATTAGAAATTTCTTTATATACTACAATAGATATACGTGTATTAATTTAATTGTTTTGATTAGATTTTATCAATTCAAACTTTTAAAATTCTCTATAATATGCAAAGAAATAAAAACTTCCTTTATAATTAGATCCAGATACAGAGGGTGGACAAAAGTTTCCGGACACTTTTTCACCAAATAAAAAGCTTATAATTCTTTAGCATTAATAGTAAAAATTTTATTTAGAGCTGGTTAAGGCATACATTTCATATTAAGCTTTAGTACTTGGTTGGGCCTCCCTTTGCCGCAATCACAGCCTGAATTCACTGTGGCATGCTATCGACTAAATTTTCAATAGTATGCATTGGAATTTCTCGCCATGCCTTTTTAACATAGCAGTTGAGGTCAGCAAGATTCGATGGTGGTTTTTTATATGCACGAATGTTTTTTTTAATATCAGCCCATAAATTTTCAATTGGGTTAAGATCAGGACATTGGGCTGGTCAAGTAAAATATGACTCTGTGTTGTTCTTTGGTTAATTCTTTATTTTGTCCCATTATTTTTCGATTTGGTAGAGATTAAGTGAATTAAGTCAAAACAACAAAAACAACACAAATTTTTTATTTTGATTATTTAAATAAACAATAGACGGTCGTATAACCGCAGTATAGTATCACAATTATATGATGAAAATTTGTTAAATCGCATTTATAAAAGTGTCCAGAAACTTTTGTCCACCCTCTGTAGTTTGATTGAAAAACAAGAATCGCGTTTATTAAAGAATTTGTAAATCCTAAAAAACATTTGAAAATGAAAAAAAAGGGATCTTCTTACTGGATTTGGATAATAAATTTGTTAATAATTTAAAATTGAAATTGTTCAGTAAAGTTTTATCATCATCAAAGTAAAAATATTGAATTTTAATATTTTCATTAATGATATCATATATTACTTTTTTAAAAGTATAGGGGATGTTTACTAGAAAAATCAGACTATAGAAATTTTTTTGACTAAAATTAAGACTTTATTATATTTTAATCTAATAACATTAAAAACTAAAAATCAAAATTTGGTTAAAAAATAAAAATAATTTTTTTTTTATATTTAATTTTTTTTATATTATTAATATTTATATAAAAAAAAAGTATTATTTAATTTAATAATTATTATAATTTTTAATATATTAGTTGAATCATAAATATTTTGCATTTTATTTAAGAAACTTTGATGTTAATAATCTTTAGTAGTATTTAAATATATATTATAATAGAACTTTTAATATAAGTGATAATATAAAAATAATTATAAATATTTAATTTTAATATAAAAAAGTAAATATAAATATATTTTCTTTAAAATATATGTTAAACTAAAATTAAATACATTATATTATAATTATATTGTAATAATATTTTTAATAAAAAAGCAAAAATTCAAATATCATACCGTTCTGAAATTAAGCAACTCCTAAAAATAAACAACTTATCAATTAGTATAGATCTGAAAATAAGTAACCCATAAATTCCTGTAAATAAACATAATAATTAAATATAATAAACATTAAAAATAGTATTAAATTTATCATTAATAATGTATTTTTATTATGAAATATTAATTAGTCAAAAGTACATTAATTAGTAATATTATTGATATTTGTTATTATTACTATTGCCATTATCACTATTATCATCATCACTATCACTGCTATCATAATCATCTCCATCATCGTTACTAATAATATCATTACTAGAATCTTTATTATCATTATTCAATATACCCAAAGAAGTCAAAATTTTGCAAGTCTTAAAAGATTCTATAACCATTTTATCTGTAATTCTTTTCTAAACATATTTGACTTATTTATAAATATCAGATAACCTAGTACAGTGAAGGTTTCTGACATGATTACTCCTGCATCACATCCTATTATCCAGATATGCCATTCCTTACGAAGATTATCTTTAAATAACTTATTAATTATTACATCAAGTAGTTGACATATACTAGTTAACCATTTGAAATAATCACCAAATCAATACCATTATCATAAAACCTAAATTAACTGAATCTTCAAGATGTTCTCAGAAAGAATCATATACCATTATTGTTAAAGCATTATTGATTGTTAAATTATCATTAATGTAATTAACATATTTCTTCATTAAATTAGTATCTATCTATCTATTTTTTGAAATCAAATAATAATATTAAATGGAATTTGTTTATTACGTGGTAGTCATTTATCTTTAAAAATACAAATTGGTAAAAATTTTGTACTATCTATAGAATAAAAATTAGATAAAAATACTAAAGAAAAAAAATGTTAAACGAAACTTTACTTGCAGTACATGTTAAGATAACTGTAAATCAGTTCTTTTTATTACCAGTGCTGTGAATATGAATTGTTTTTCACCTATAATATTAATTGTAAAGTTTCCTGTTATGTTAAACCAGACAGAAGTTTCATTATATTTAAAATATTGGATAATTCAAATAATTTTTTGATTCTAAGATTGATGATAAACTGACAGAAATTTTCTAATAACTCAACAGTTTGTGATGAAAGTTTTTGTGAAATTTTAGTTCAACGCTGCTAAAATAGATTAAATCTTTTTATAAATGCAAACATCTAATGGTTTGATGTTTTAAATTTATTTGTTGAATATCTATAAAGATTTATTATAGCAAGTTCTTTTAAAATATCTAGCATCTTAACTTATATGATAACATATATAACACCTAAACCCTGCTTTTTCTGCTCAATAATCCAATCATATAGATTTTTTCAGCTTCTAGATAAAAGCTTTTTCTGCCAGAATCTATTCATTTGCAGTTTTAGTTTAGTTTTTTAAACTATTTTTCATTTGAATTAACTCAGTATTTAACTATACTTTTATTAAATTCAAAAGTATTTGCTGTTCTAATTATTTTAATTTTCTTAGCATAAGTGATAACTTGTCTCATTTGCTCAATAGAATATGAATTGTGGCTTCGTTTGAGAGTTTTTTATTAACAGATATTTGTCTTTTTTACTTTTGTGATAACATATTAAGTTTTAAAATAAGTTTAAAAATAAGTTTGTGATTGATCGTGTGTGATTTATTGATAATAATATCACATTATATTATACAGATGATTATTTTGCGTAATGTAATAACAAAATGTTTATTATATATAAAACATTTACAGTAAATGCGCAATTTTTCATTTTTTTTCTATGAAAAAAAAGTACCTAAAATTAAGCAACCCTATAGCAAAAAAGAATTGCTTAATTTTGAAATGATACGATAGTTTTAAAAATAAAGTAATTATTATTTAAATAAATATAGATATATGGTATTTTATCTTATATATTATTTTCATAATATATTTAATAAAAAATTTATCATTTTATAAGTTTTTATTATTAATTTTTTAATTAATCAGATTTTATTCATATAAATAAGTATAAATAATAAGTAAATTATTTATAGAAGAAAACAACTAAAAAAAACTTAAAAAAAACTAATTAAATTGTTTTATTGTAAAACTAAAAAGGATTCTATAGGCCATTTATCTTTAAATAATCAAAAGAAAATATTAAAACTTTTAAAATAATTAAAAAAATTCTTAAATTAATTATTTTTATTAAAAGAATATTAAATTTAAGAATTTTTAAACTGAAGTCTTTAAATTACTAAGTAGAAAATATTAAATTAATTTTTTTCTATATATTTTTAGCATAATAGATATTCATTATATTATGTAATAATAAAATTAAATATTGATCTTTTTTATATTGTGTAATATTTGATTTCAATTGATTTAAAGTAATAAAAAAGATTGATAATATTTCAAAACTAATCTATTGATATACAGTTTTTTTGTATTAATATATTATTCATTTTTTTCTTTACATTTGGGTAAAAAAAGATCTAAAGATCTCTGCTATTAAGAAAGTTAGATGAGAGCTGAAATTTTAAGATTAAAATTATATATATTATGATATATTTTATTTAATGACTTGTATTTTACCAAGTTTTTACAAATTCTAAAATATTATTAAAGTCTACCAATATTTTTTTTACTGTTTTTTCATATTCTTCTTCTTCTTCATTTTCTTTATTATCATTATTTAATATTTCATCATCTAATAAGTTATTATTAATATTATTATCTTTTCCTAATCTTTTTATATAGAATTTTATATTAAATATAACACATTTTTTATAGAATTCTAATAATAATTATACTTATTATTTTATTCTGCAAAACATTTGTGATAGAAAGCATGTTTATATCTCAATATTATGCCTTTTTCTTTATCTAAACATTTAAATATTAAAATTTAAATTGTAATTCAATTAAAATTTGAAAGTAATTATGATAATCATTTTTAGTTAGAAATATTAGATATATTAAATATATCAGATTTATAAATCATCTATATTATTTATACTATATTATGTTAATTTATTTATAATATATATATAAGACTTTTTAGTTAATTATTAAATTTTTTTTGAAAATATTATAAATTATTATTTATAAATCACTTAATTTCAATTAAATTTTTCAGTTTTTATATATTATAATTATTTTTTAATGATTTTTTATAAATAAAAATTTAGAATTTTATTAATAAACTTAATTTATTTTTTATTTTTCTTGTATTTGAATAATTATTATATTATATTATAAAAATTAATTATAATTAATATTATAAATAACAAATTATATTTTATTTGTTAAAATTTATATATAAAATATTATAATAGTTTCAATTGTTTTTGAATAAATTTAGAAATTTATTAATTATAAAATTTATATAATAAAGTTTAAAATTTTTAAAAATTAATAATTTATTTCTAAAAACTTATTTTATATAATAATATTATTTTAGATAAAATAAAATCAAAAAGTTTTATTAAATAAAAACAAGTTTTAAAAATTTTAATAAAATAATTTATATAAAATTTTTAAAATTTTAATTTTATATATTATAATTACTTTCTACCTTATTAACTTTCATTATTTTTTTAAAATTTTTAATTAATTTATAAAAGTATTATAATCAAATTATTGATATTAATTATTTTTATTAATTTTTTCAGAAAAATAAGTAATTTTGACTTAATATTAATTCAAGAAATTACATAATAGAAATCATATTATAGTAATAATAATTTATAAAATTAAGTGTAATATAAAGAATTTACAAATGATAAATAAATAATTAGTTTAAGATTATACAAATAGTTAAAATAATTAATAAAGTAAATTAAAAATACAAAAAAAAAAATTAAAGAAGGACAATTAAAATAAAAAAATATAGTAGCTATATAATAATAATTTAATATTAATTAAAATATTATAAAATAATATATTTTTATCATAATTATAGAATTGTTGTATAATAATTAGATAATGATTATTTCATTTATGACATAAATATTACAAATAGATGAAATATTTATTATATAATTCTTTTACAATAGATTAGCAATTAGTTTAAAAATTTTATTATAAATAGCTAGAATTTTTAATTATGTAAATAACAGTTATTTTTTTGTAATTCATTTTTAAAAAATTATTTTGTAACTTATTTTGAAAAATTATTTTAGTAACTATAAAAGTTAATTCTATAATTTAATAAATAATAATTAAATTTATTAATAATTAATAAAAAGTCTATCAAATTCTTTAAGTATTTTATTTTTGCTTATTTTTTTTATAAAATCCTTGAAATATTTTATTTTGAGAAATTTATTGAATACAATTATAAATACTCTTGAATATTTTGAATATAAATTTATTTTAATACATTTTAATATAAGAGTACTTATTCTTTTACTTTAAATTTACCAAATTATTTAACTATTATTTTGAGCATATACTAAAAATTTTAAGATATATTTTATTAAATCAGTTAAGTCCTTATACTTTCTAACTTAAAAACTCAATTTGTAAACAAACATTCTTGTGAATTTCTTGTTTAAAATTCACATATTAAGGATTTTAATATAAATTTAATTAAAGTTTCATTTAAGAATACAAGTGTATAGCTAAATCTCAATTAATTAAGTATTTTAGTCTACCTAATCGTCAGTTTCTTTAAAGAAATTATCTCTATAATGTTTACATCAACTATAAATATCATTAAAGCAGTTTAAAATGTAAAGCTAATAAGTTGAGCTGTACCAAGTAAAATCATAACATAAACTGATTTGTTTAATTCATAGCTTGTTCTATAATGGCTTAGCTAATTCTCAGAAACTTAAATAATCGAGTTAGATGCTGATCGGCACTTAAAAAAAAACTACAATCACTTGGCTTTTGCAATTGCACATTTTTTTGTTCTGAATTATTTTTGTAACGGGGTTTTTTTTTTAAAACAATCGTTTTCTTTATTTTGTACCAACGATTTGTTTATCTTTTTTTCGAAATGGCTACATCACCTGAAGTATTTACGTTGTTTGAGAATTTAAACAAACGTCATTTAGAATTAGAAAATAATGTTACCCGTTTGAAAAATGTAATAGTCTTATCAATTCAACAAGGGCTTGCTGCAGAGATTAGAGAAGGGGTAAAAGAATTTGGAAAGTGGATAGAAGTGGGAATTAGTTTTATCATTCCATTGACTTCGATCATCTTTTGAAGCAAATTACGAAATAATTTTTTTTTTTTTAAAAAAAAAATCCTTTTGTATTTATTATAAGTTAGGATGTAAAACAGATAGCTGAAGAACAAGAAAAGGATAAAGATAAACAAGCCATTTTACAAATGTTACGGAGAAATGAAGAACAATTCAAACAGTACGTATATTTAAATATATTTAATATTGGATTACGTTCGTATCTCAAGTAATTTGTAAAATTAAAAATTTTTAATGTTTATTCTAGATTACAATCATCGATTCGAAGAGCTATTTTAGCTTCTAAACAAAATATAGATAAAGAGGCTAAAATAGAACGCGAAATGTTGCTTGGTCGTGGCGATGGTCGTAATTTAGAAGCATTTGAAATGAGAAGGCGTAATCTAACGTTAGTTGATCTTTATAATATTTATTTAACAAGGACTTTACAATTAAAAAATTTCCGTCCATTCTTCAATTATAATTTTTAGTTCTGAAGATGCTATTTTACATTCTGCAAGCGATGTTACAGAATCATTGCGTCGAACGACTCAATTGATGCAACAAGAGATTGAACGAAGTGCTTATTCAGCAAAAGTACTTGGTAAGGAGCAAATGTCACATTGGAAAAACACATCAAAAAGAAAATACTTGATCCTTATCTTTTACATTTTAACCTTATTTTAGACGAATCATCTCGTACGCTAAAGACAACTTTTAATGAATACCGAGGATTTTCTTCAGTAGTACGCAGCTCAAAACAACTGATCACAAAATTGGAACAAAGTGATTGGACCGATAGATTACTTATTCTTTTTGGTTTGTTTGTATTCATTCTTGTTGTAGTGTATATTTTAAAGAAAAGAGTATGGAATACAGGATTCGGATGGATATCTTGGTTCGCTTCTTGGTTCATATAAGGGAGATTTTTCTCATAAATTACAAGAACTTTAATCTTAGTTATAAATTAATATAATTTTTTTTTTTAAAAAAAAATGGTTGTTCGTATAACATTTATTAAAATAGAAAGTTAACCAACGATAAATATAAATTTTATTAAAGCAAAGTAGTTAAGCAACTAGTAAACGAAATTATTGAATTAATTATTATTTTTAAAAATATTCTAAATTTTTTTTTGGAATTGTCTTTAAAAGAATGATATGGACAATATCATATTGTAAAACTTTCACCACATCCACAACTTTCTTTAACATTAGGATTGTTGAAAACAAATTTGGAGGACAACCTATCCTCTACAAAATCCATCTCGGATCCAATCATTTTGAAAAGAGATTTAGAATCAATAAGGACTGTAACACCTATAATATAATATAAAAATTAATTAAAAATAAAAATTATAATTTATTTGACAGAAACAATTTTCTTATTTACTTACCATCCTGGCTCACAACCTCATCAAATTTTTTTTTTTCTTTGGTATATTCTAAAACATAAGATTGTCCTGCACAACCTTTATTCTTAACAGCTACACGAATTAGTTTAGGTTCAGGTCCATCTATTAATTGACGGAGTCGATTCACTGCTGAAGGAGTCTTAATTGTATTAAAGACAAATATTATTATAACAATTGAAATAAGTAAAAATAGAAACAAAGCAATAAGCACTTTACCAAGGTCATGGCCGCTTTCTTCCTCTTGGCTCCCAAGGAACCAGCCATTTTGAGAGTTGAATTAGCTGCTGATCTAAATGCCGACATTTTGGAAATGACCTTAAGAATTACAAAAAAGGTAATATAATGTTAAACTTCATTTTATTATGAAAAAAGGTTATGAAATGCAAAAATTTAATTTTTTTTTAATTTGTGATTTGTAAGTTTTATAGCAGTTGACGAATGACAAACTTGTAACACATTCTAATTTTCAAGTGATGATTGTCATCTGGAACCCTGATTAAAAGGACATTTTTTTTTATTTCATTGATGCCTTCAGGATAAAAATAAAAAAATGGTAATGCAAAAATTTTTATTTAGAAATGAGAATTTTAGATTTTAATTAATTGTATTTAATTTAATAAACTAGCCAAATAATAAACGTCATACGTTCAAACAAATCAAAAACAAAAACTCTATAATTCACCCTTCTAGTCGTAAAGCAGCTCAACTTCAACGAATTACTTTACGCAAAGACCGTCTAGAAAGAGATAAAGCTCGAAGGATATCTGAAGCTCAACCAATTGGTTTGTTTAATTTTCGTGTCTTCTTTTTTCTGTTGAAATTATTTTTTTATCAATCAAGAAAATCTAATAATTATCCTTTTAGTCGAACGGTTATTATGGTTTAGATATGCACTTGATGATGCACTTCCGTGTGCAACAAAAGCTGAAGTTTATGACTTAATAGAAATGTAATAAAAGGGTTAACTAAATTATCATTACCTTAATTTAATATTAATTTAAATTTGGTTTGTACAATAGGTACATAGCTCGCAATGATGATGATATATCAAATCTTGATTCGCCAAAATATGTACATAAAACTAAATCATCAAAACAATTTCTTTTGGATGCATTGAAATTGAAAGAGAAAAGAGAGTATATGGAAGGATTTGGTACGTTATAATATTTCGAAAATCTTTTATCTCGTGTTTTATGAATAACACAAATCCAACAATCTTATCATTAAAGAAATTCCAAATTTAATGGATCCGAAAAATGTCAAGATCTTAAGGTAAATTTAGTTTATTATATAAATAAGAAAATACTTTAAATTCCAAAGTTATTAAATTAGCTGATTATTTTTCTTTATTAAACAAATTAGACAATGGGATGGTGATACTAATTCGATGTCAAGAATTAAGACTATAAGAATAGAAGATCCAAACAATATAAATAATTTAAAAACAACAGCCCAAAATCTTGCCAAAAAACAAAAATCATCAATACATATTATTAGTAATTCAGCAATGGCAATTGATCAAACGAATATGAGTGAACAACCGATTGTTTAAGAACTTGTTAATTCTAAACTTCTTGATGAGATTCAAATAAAATTTAAAATATGTGATTAATGATTCTTGCAAATTATTTCATGTCATAGTGATCCGGTGATCGCATTAGTTTACTACGTAGTCATTATTGTCAACATTTGATTTCGTATTAAAATAAATATATAAAAGAAGTTCATTTTTAATAAAATTATTTATACAATCCATTATTTAATATAAATCTCATAATTAAAAATTATAATAATTAAGTCACCGAATTATCAACGATTTGTACAACCAATCACGAATTATTGCATTTCATTTGATCGATCAAATCAAAAAAAAATTTTTTTTTTAAAAATTATTCTTTTTTTAAAAAAATGACAACGCACGAAGAAATTAAAACCGAATTAAATAACGCAAAAGAGTATAAGGAGTGGAAGAAGGAGTGGGGAGAGAGGTTGAACAAGTTGAAGAGGGGAATAGAGAATGAAGAATACGAAGGAGAAAAGGAGGAGTTAGAAAATGAAAAGAAAAAGCTGGAGATAAATGGGAAGTGTTGTATCAAGAAGTGTTACGTGAGAGAAAGGTAATGGACAAATTGCGTAAAAAATATACAAAAAATTATTTTCCGTTCATTCCATTTCGTTTATCTATTCTTGTGCTTTTCTTTCCTGCTTCTTATCGTCAAACCCTCCCAAAAAACACATTCGCGTTATCGTAGAACAACCTGTTGCTGGTAAGTAAGTCGTAATAAATTTGGTCAATTCATGTGAACATATGTTTTCGCCGTTATTTTTTAACGTGTGCATCACTATTTCCATTTTATTCAGAACAATATATCCAGAGAATTCAGTATTTGGAATATGAGAATTTTCTTCTTAAGTTATCCAATACACAAAGTTCTGCTTCCGTGTACAGATTTGTGAGAGCACATGGAGACTTTCAACTTTGGGAAATCGAGGAGAATACCGATATAGAACCACTAATAGGGGTTGACGATGACGTATTTAGTAATCACCGTGATCCTCCCGCTCAAGGATCAAATGAAGTTAATGTAACCCAACCATTTTGTAAGAATGTTGTGAGTGAAATTAATGAAACCATAAATGAGATGCATATAAGTAATTACTTGTGTTTGGAGATGGTGGCGGTCGGGTGAGAGATAATGTTTTCCCTGAAATCATAATTGGCCGTTCCGATTTCTACAGAGAATTGACAGAAAACCCACCTGATTTATCAAAGGTTTGGGTTGGGAAGTCAAGAGTGATTTAAATGATGGTTCAAAAGTAACTGAAGGGAAAGGTCAACTAGTAAAATATTCCAGGGTATACCTTGCAGCGAATCCATCTCTAACAAACGTTTTCAATGGATGTTTAACGGATGGAAAGCTTTGGTTATTTGTGAAAATCCAACTTGTATTAGATAATACTAATAAACCAAAAGTGAAGTTTGAGGAAAGTCAGCCTTATGGATGGAATAGAAAGACAGCCTCATTATCGCCGGCATAATTGAGCGTTATCATAAAAATCTGTCTATGAGAGCTTCTGGCGAAAAAAACGAATCTCCAAATAATGATGAAACGTATATGTATAGGAATAAGTCATCAATTTCTACTGAAAGTCTCTTAGCTTCTTTCATCAAAGATGGTATCTATATCAGATTACATTCTGAAAATCATATCCATATACAGATTACATCTCACCTTGAAAATGGAAGAGAGTGTATAGGTACAAGTACGTGATTATAGAATAAAGGATGCCGTTTTGAAGGTAAATTAATTTCTGAGAATGTCTCATACAGCGTATAATATAAACTTACATATTGATCATTTTTTTATTTGAAGATTGAAATTCGCAAAGTCAGTGAAATCTCTCAAGTTTACCGTGAAATATCAGCGTTGCATGGATTAGGTGGTCTTTCTTGCATTTGGCTTTACTAACTGATTTTGTAAAACAATCCCTGAAATCATGGATTTCTGATAACGGTAATATAGAGATTATACCATTATTCAAATAATTCTAGATCTATTATCATGCTTAGAGAAGATACATGCCTGTGGTTACACAAATAGTTCATTAACATTCTAAGTCTATTCTTCAAGTTCTTGCAATAAACTCTGCACAAAATTACTATGGGAAAAGTTACTCAAAAAAAATTCAACAACAACCCAAAAGCCCAAAGAAATACTCGTAGTCGTTCTGACTCTCCAGTAGACGATAAGTCTCAAGAACCTTCCCAAAAAAAGACAGTGACTATTCTCAACCGTCCAGGTTCTCCTGATATTGAAAATACAGATAACTCCAACGTCGCTTCTGGTTCACAAAGTATTATGGAAGTAGACCCCCCTTTGACTACCGATAACGAAAGTATCCCAACACCAGTTCCCTCTAAACCCACCGCTAATATGGATGAAGATCAAGCTCACGACCCAACTGAAAATTTAGTCAGGAAAAATACTTCGCCAAACGTCTTTTCCTTCGAACGTATTCGCGACGCTTCCTTTTTCTACGTTTACTGCGCATATGAAACTTTCCTTACGGAAAAATCAAATAAGGAAAAAATAAACCATGCTTGTGAAATGTTCAACGGCGTTGACTTTCCATCTTTCATTGGTGCCTCAATAAAACAAGACCCCTTAACAAAACGCTCAAAATTGTCCGATTTGGCTTCTCCACGAGTTTAGATGCTAACAAAGCACTTGCTGCTCAATTTCCTAATATGGCAGATCTTAAATTAATGCCACTTGAACGTCCTTCCTTATTCAGGTTTAACCCCTTAGCGGCGATCAAAGTAACAGAGATCCCCATTTCCACTTCTGAAAGTGTAATTCAATCGACCTTTACCAAATTTGGAAAAATTCTACGATGTTCCATGATCACAAAGAACTTGTGGCAACAGGCGACCATCTCCTTCGAAGAAGGAACTGATATGACCATATTCGATAAGATCAAAGGTCAATTTATCCTTATAGACCTAGTTCGTGTCCACCCCTGCTCAGCTACAACAGAGGAAATTAAACTTCGTTCTAAATTTACCCTCAAACTCACAAATCTACCTAAAGATACTTCCAGACGAGAATTAGAACCCATCGCGAAGGCTGTCAACGCGATGACATAGGTCATACCTAAAGCTCATTTAAATTACCGAAATTTGCAATATGCTTTTATCCACTTCGCATCAGAGGAAGATTTATTCGCAGCAGTCAATGGTGACCAAATAGTCCTAGATGATAAATGACTCATTTGGACTCAATCTGATACAAAACTTTGCGCCCACTGCGCTGCACCAGGACATGATTTCCGTCTTGCAGAAGAAAATGTGCTGCGCCACAAGATAGACAAACCCAAAATCTGTATCAAAGATTCAAACCTGCTCAATTCAAAAACTATTCGGCTCCTCCTAAACCTGTATGACCTACTTTCGTACATGACAAAGACACAGTTTTCGATCCAAAAAACCCCCAATCATTTGCTAATCGTACTTGTCAAAATATACCACCGTTGAACAAACCTCCCATCGTTCCAGTTCATTCGAAACTGGGTTCCAATGAAAAAAATAACAACAACACGAATCAAACTACCAACAATAATAAATCATCTTTAAATGATTCAATCCATGCCAATAAATCTTGGTCTGACCAAGTTGAAGATAACTATCTCTTTCCAAAACAACAACGTGACCACCAATCTGTTTGGGAACCGTCTGATACTACCAAGATCATGCTGAAATTAGACGCTCTTACAGATACCCTTGCAAAGATTCATAATGATCTCACTTTTACAGTTCGTCGTCTTGACATTGTTGAGCGACACTTGAATATATATACCCTCACTCCTGAAAAAGTTGCCGAGTTAAACACCGCAAATAAAGGTAAAGGCAAAGCTGACATGGAAACAGAAGAAACTCAATACGAAGAGGGTGTAGATACCTCAGAATCCAAAATTGTCGAATACGAAGGAAAGATACAATGGCTTGCTCAAGAAAACGAAGAGCTTCGCCTTAATAACAAACAAAACATTGAAAAACTCAACTCTGCACTCGAAGCAGTTGCCCGCATTCAGAAATTCGTGTATGGAAAATAAAATGAATCATTATGTACACCGATCCCTCAACTTATTAAACCAGGTGCAATTTGGATTAACGATGACGGTACTGAAACATCTCACCCCGACCTCTTCTTTTAAACTTATCCTAATGATAAATAATAAGTATAATATAGATACCAAATACATCCCCACTTTCCTTAACATTGCATCTCACAACACCCGTTCACTACTTAATCCACATAAACAACAACTTTTATTTGACATTTACTCCATTAATCACTTAGATATCATTGCTTTACAAGAAACCAATTTTACGACACCCCTTCAACATTTGTCATTTAAATCCATTTGTAATAACTTATTTTCACCTTTCTTCTCCACAGACCCTAACTCTCGTCATTCAGGCTTTGGTGTTGGATTTCTTGTTAGAAAACACCTTGCTAATCACATTTTTCGTCACTCATCCTTTTTTAATCGAATTTTTCACCTTGATTTTCAATTCAAAAACAAAAACAAACTTCGAATTATTAACGTTTATTTATCATGTTCAGATAAACCCCTTCATGTAAAAACAATTCGTCAAACGCGTATCCTTATCGATGAAGCTATTAAAAATAATTTTTATATTATTATTTTAGGGGACTTCAATACAGACCTGTCAAGATCCCACAACCCTTCACACTCAATTCGTTTTATGGATCATATTACGAATAATAATTTTATTAATACTTACGATTTTATTAAATCATCAAAAAAGGTCAATGACCTTCACACATATGTCAGCGGTTCTTCACAAACTACTATTGATCACATTTTCATCGCTCCCTCTCTAATCCCTGATTTTATAGACCATCAAGTTATTTCAGTTGATTCAACGCTTTCTGACCATTATATCGTATCTGCCTCTTTAACTTTAAACTCGATCAATCCAAGTTTCAACAATACATCAATGGTTAAAAAACTTGTTTTTATGTACAATGATATGACAGACGA